TCAAGCATCAACCCATGGCGGCAGGAGTCACTTTCTGTCCCATGGATGCTGGTTGAAAAGAAACGAACAGGGATTCCATCTCCCTGAAGGAAGCTATTCATTTGACGTACTTACAGAGAGCCCTCCTTACATCGAGACGGTGCCACTTCCTCTCTAGATGATGTGTGGGTCATGGACATAAATCCAGGAGAATAATCTCCTGGGCCCTAAGAAGTCATGAGTTAACTTTAGGTAAAAAAGAGGGGTCTAACTGTAGCACAACTCTGTCAGGATGTAAAATGCAGTGGTCTCCATGGACTGAGAGGGCTGCTAGCTCCGAGATCCTCCTGACTGAGGTAATGGCCACAAGGAAGGCGACGTAAAGAGTCAGTAGTCGAAGGTTGATGGTACGTAATGGCTCGAACGGGGTGGAAGTGAGAGCTTGCAGCACGATGGATAGGTCCCAAATGGGTAGCAATTCACCACGGGTGGCCTGAGGTTCGATGCCCCTTTCAGGAAGCTATGGATGATGATGAGCAAGGGTATTGCCATCTCCGCCCGAAAGAACCATTGATAAAGTGGCCACCTGTCGACAAAGGGCATTGGGAGTCAGGCCCCTGTCCAACCCGTTCTGCAGAAAGTCCAAACATTGTGGAATCAAAGCAGTCATGGAAGCAGAGTCCAATGCGGCACCATCTGCAAAAGGTAGCCCAGGTGACATTGTATATAAGTGCGGTGAAAGGCCTGAATTGTTTGGATGGCTCTCTTGTAGAAGTTGTCACACGTTAAGATATCCCTTTCAAGTGCCAGATGGCTAATTGAAGCCACTGGGGCTCCAAACGGAGCAGGCCCCCCCAGCTGAGGGATATCTTGTCATCCAGAATTCTCGAGGGCCTGGATACTGAGAGGTTGATCAGTTCGGTGTACCAGGGGTGTCTGGGCCAGGGGGAGCAATGAGCAGGACCTTCGTTCTCTCCACAACCACCTTCCGGATGACCCTCGGGATGAGGGGGAAGGGGCAGAAAGGTGTATAGCAGCCACTGAGGCCAAGGGCTGCGGAAACCATTGACCCCTTCTGCCTCCAGTACCGGAAACCTGGTGAAGAACCTTGGGAGATGAATGTTGGTCGGATGAGCGAACAAGTCTACAGGCGGATATCCAAACCTGTGGGACAGCTCCTGGAACAGATCTGGGTGGAGATGCCACTCTACATAGTCCACTGTGGCTCTGCTCAATCAACCTGCCTGCACATTTGCAATTCCAGAGATGTGCTTTGCCCTGACGGAGAGGGTGTGCAACTCTGCCTAGTTGTTCTGCCTCTAGCATGAGGGACCTGGAGTGGATGCCCCCCTGGCAGTTGATATGAGCCTTTGTGGCCACATTTTCAGTGAAGATCAAGACGTAGCACCCAGTCACCAGTTCCTGAAAATGTCAAAAGGGTTAAGTGGGTGGCCCGGAGCTCCAACCAGTTTATGTTGTTCAATAGCTCCTATAGGCTCCAGTGTCCCTGAGCCACCTGACTCTGGGTATGGATGCCCCACCCAAAGAGACTGGCATCGGATGTCACTATGATGCGGTCTGACTCCCTGAACAGACATTCCTTTTGAAGAGCAGGAGATCTCCACCAGAGCAATGATTGGAGCACCTTTGGATACCCAAACTCTGGTGTTGGAGCTGCTGCTGCCGGCCCTCTGGTATGGAAGGAGAAACCATTGCGGGTCCGTGCGAGCAGTCGCGCCCAGGGAACAATGTCTAAACAGGAAGTCATTTTCCCCAAGAGCTGGGAAAGGACCACCAAGGGATTGAAGTTGACTTACCAATGACCAGACACTGTAGCATTGCTCCTGGGAGAAGTAAACATTGCAGGCCTCGGTATTTATCACCACCCCCAGGTGCAGTAGACTGGTGGAGAGCTGCAAATGGCTCTTTTGCAGGAAATCCATGTTGCTGAAGGACTTGTATTGTGATGTGAAGATCTTGACTTGCAGAGCCATGTACTGGAAGTGGCACCCTGTAAAATGAAATCTCAGGAAGCTTCTGTGAGACGGATGGATGGGTACATGAAGGTAAGCCTCTTTGATGCACGATATCAGCAGGTCACCTTGACAGATGCAGCCCAGGATAGATTACATTTTGAAGTGCTTGTATGCCAAATGGATGTTGAGCTTTTTAAAAGCTAGAATGGCTCTCCACCCCACCCTACCCCCGAGTTTTTCAGGACCAGAGAGAGGATTGAATAAAATTCTAGTCCCTCCTGCCCAGATGGAACTGGCTCAATAGTGAGAATGTCCAAGAGATGTTGGATCTCGGTGTCCATGAGGCCCAGCTCAGCTCCACTGTGCATGCCAACTGATTTGCAGTCTCTGCTGCACACACAATTTTGGCATGCCATAAGAAAAAGGTTCGCCATCACTGGTCTAAGCCAAACCAGGGAAGTCCTATTAAAAAAGGACGCAACTGTAGCCACTCTAAGTGCCAAGAAGGCCGCCTGATGTGTCTTGCAGAGTGTCATCTCTGTCTTGTGGTCTTCCGCCTTTAGCCCCTCCGATACATCAGATGGTACAATAGCAGATGAAGCCAGGGAGGCTACTTGAGGATCTACAGTCAGTATCTGCAGGAGTCCTTCCAGGTCTGGACCTGTAAAGTTTCCAGTCAGCCATTGCTAGGGGGATGGATGGAAACAGGCTGGGTCCACTATCTCTGGATGATGTCCAGGAACAGCTTTGGGAATGGTATAACCTCCTGTTCAGGGACTTGTTCTGAAAAGAGGCATTCTGTCAGATCCAAACCCAATGAAGTCTCAGCTGGGACCTCCCATATTGGCCGCGGTCTTGGCCTTGTATAAAAAAGACTTAAACAAGGTGGGCCAGAAGAGTCCAGAGAAAACAGGTCTATCAGGCATGAGCCCCTGATCTTCCAACAATTCCTGTTCACCTAGATTGTCTTCTCCTGCAAGTGAATCCTCGCTGTGGAGGGAGGGAAATGGTGAAGAAGGATACTGTATATGTACTGAAAAGGCCCTGGCCATGGCTAGTGGCATAGAAGATTGACCCCTTCACTGTAATTCCGATTCAGCCCATTGGGAGATAGCTGCAGAAATTAATGCGCAAACCTCCAGAGGAAGACTCAGAGGTTGGCCCTCCTCAGGGCAAAGCCCCACTGCTGTCGGAATGATGCTGAGCACCTGGTCACTGGGCCGGGTGCTAGGCCTACCACTGATAAGTAAGATGGGAGGGTGGACCCCATTCCAACTTCCTTTGCTGAAAGGCCCTACAGAAGGGTAATGTCATGGGCCAGGTTTGGGTCGCCTCTAGAATGGCAGGAGAACCAGGCTGTGAATGAGGAGAGAGTCTCCAATGTCAATGCTGGTGGGGATCTGTTGGCCTCTGCACTCCTGGTAGCCTTGGAAAATGGTTTCTCCAATGCCCTCTGTCTCCTCTTGGCATCTCTGTCAGCAGCTGCAGATGTGGACTGAACCACGGAGCTGTTGGCCCTAGATCTGCAAGAAATGCCCCTCATGGTGGGTCTGCTC